CATGCACCTGTAATCCCAGCTACTTGGGACGCTGGGGCAGAAGGATTGTTTGAGCCCAGGAGTTGAGGTTGCTGTGAGCTAGGCTGACGCCACGGCACTCTAGCCTGGGCAACAGGGAGAGACTGTCTCAAAAAAACAAACAAACAAAAAAAAACAACTAGTAAATGGTTCAGCCTCGGGAGTTTTCATTCACAGTCTGCTCCTGCACAAATCGTGAGAGGTTTTGAATCAGGTCCTACCCGGAAATAAGGCCGCAGAGGTCCACTGAAGGTGTCACTGAAAGTACAGATGTGAGATTTCTCAGCCATGTCATAGAATGAGATCTCACCCAGCTCGTAGTCCAGGAAAATGCCAATGACTCTGTCCTCCACGTCTGGCAGTGAGGGGGCTGGAGCAGCTCCCGGTGCGTCGTAGCCGCTGTCCTGCAGCTGGACCGTCCAGCACCCCTGCCGGGGCAATGGCGGTCTCCTGGCCTTCGTGGGAAGGGAGTCCTTGCAAACGCCGACAGCCCATTCGGACTTGTCTCCCACTTCCACTTGCCAGAAATGCCTGCCAGAGTGAAAATATGGAAAACCCAGGACAACTGGTTTGACTGTAAATCTTCTTGGAAAAGCACGAACCTTTTGTTTCCTCTTTGTAAATCTCACACATTTTTTGTCCTCAGAGACAATCAGGTTAGGGTGTGCCGTGTCGGGGTCTAGCGTTACATCTACTTTAAACCTCTTTATGATTCTCTGAAGGGCCGAATACTGGGGAGGAAAACTGCAGCCTTCTCTCCTTAAACGAATCGAGAAGATGGACGGGCTAGCCTCATTTTCAGACCTGTAGAAAACTTTAATCTGTGACAGCATTTCCACTTCAGACAGCATGCTGAGCTCGCGGACCCTACGTAGCTGACTCTTGAGTGTGGCAACGTAGTTTGAAAATGCTGTTACGTTTGCACGGAGCTTCTGTTCAACGTCCTTCTCTTCTTCCTCTAACCTGGAGAGCATGGCATGTTGCTCACGGTCTAAAAACTGGTTCAGGCGCTCAAATTCAGAGGATAATTCTTGCCTCTGGTTCTCCACCTTCTCTCTCAGTTCTAAGGGTTTTTTGCTCTGAATGCTCATTAATTTTTGCAGGTCTGCCAGTCGCTTCCTCAGGGACTCGACGCAGCCGCGCAGCCTCCGCCTGTGGTGGGAGGCGGCCTCCGCTATGGGCCTCGCGTCGTGGCCCCGGTGCTCCGGGGCCTGAGTGCAGAGCGGACACAGCACCTCCAGGTCCTCCTCGCAGAAAACGCTCAGGGCCTGGCTGTGCCTCTCGCACAAGGACGCCTCTTCCTGCCGCCTTCTGCTGCTTCCGGGGACGTGCAGCCGCCGGGCGATTTCCGCCATCCTCCCCAGCTGCGCGTTGCTCCGGAAGTGCCCCTCTTCGGACGGGTGACGGCAGACGGGGCACGGGAAGTGGTCCTGCAGGTCCGCCCAGGACCGCTGCACGCAGGCGCGGCAGAAGTTGTGCCCGCACTCGATGGTGACCGGGTCCCTCAGGTAGTCCAGGCAGATGGC